TTTTAATCTCAAAGTTTAATGCTTGCAGAACTTTTGCTTTTCATCAAACAAAAAATACAACCAATCACAAAATTTCCAGCTTTGAAACCCAAATAAATAACACATGGTGCTCTCTTTTTATAGAATACAGGCCCAGATTACTACTTGTGCCATTAGGTGAGCATTTTAAATCAGTTTTGTCTCATTCTATTTACAAAAGCAATTATACATAAATTAATACGCAGTGGAGCCAAAAAGCCTTGAATCTGAATTTCAGAATATCTACCCCCTATTTGAAAATGATAACAGCTAATAACAAATGATTCAAGGAGTTTCTTGTGATGTGTATCCCTGTCTTCAAGTAGTTCCTGCAAGCCTGGTGTGTTGGCTCCTTAGCAGTAATAATATTCTCCAAAACCTGAAGGGTGAAGGATGTCTCTGATGAAAGCAGTGGTTCTCCTTGGTCAGGGTGGAGTCAACTCAGTACAAGTATCCATCTCCAGAGCACTTTGGGTTTAATGCACTGTTATCCTTCTCTCTCTCTCTCTGCATATACCCTTGTGCTACTGACACAAATCTCACATTTACACACCTACCCAACTCAAGAGACCACCACTCCTCCTCTGAGACCAGACTAGACGTGGTTATTTCAACTGCACTTTTTATTCTTCTACTTTTTATTTAGAAATTTCCTTATCTGTGATGGAGTTGCTTTTAAGTGACAGTGAACAGGGAGGTTTAGATGGAGCAATTTCTGGAAAGTTTTAATCTGCGATCTTTGTCTAGTCATAAAATGTGATTCAGTTTCTTTTGCCACTATCACCTGAAGATGACACAGGTGATAGTGGTAAAGCAGTTTTCTGCTGGAAACATGAGGCCCAGTCTCAGATGTTTGATCTCCACTGTACCTGTGTTCACTTTAAATTATATTAAGAACTGACCTGAGATCAAGATAAATTAAAGATACACTGATCAGGCATAGCATTATGGCCACCTGTCTAATACTGCGTTAGTCCTTCTTTTTCTACCAAAACAGCCTTGAACCATGGAAGCATGGACTCCACCAGCCCCCTGAAGGTGCTACAGTAGCTCAAATTGCTGAAAATGTTGCATTGGGCCAAGTTGGCCAGCCGTTACTCTCAACATACATCAGTGAGCCTCCATGCTTGGACCACTTCTGATAGAAACTGACCACCGTACACCGGGAAGAGCCCAAGAGACCCGCAATTCTGGAGATGTTCAGTAGAGTTGGCTATCACAAAGTGGCCCTCAAACTCACTCAAACACCTATGCTTGCACACTTTCCTGCTTCTAACACGGCAAATTTGAGGACATAATGATTACTTGCACCCTAATATAGCCCACACTCACCAACAGGTGCCACGATGAAGACATAATCACTGTTATTCACCATCAGTGCTCATAAAGTTACGCCTGATCTGTGTTTATAAACTAACTGCGCACACTGGGCTTTTTGGCAGCTGCTTTTCCCTCCGTCGGTTCCCATCTGCACATGGT